ACTGAGAAAGTTGGAAGGGAAGAATACATAGGAGGCAAGGTATGAAAAAATACAGCATGTTCAGAAAAACTCTAAATACTCTTGCATGGCTTGACACAGAGTCAATCCTGAAATGCGAGGATTTTAAAATGTAGTAAGAGAAGGGCAATAGCTGAGGTACTACCGGTTTCATAAGCCCTATCATTCAATTATTACCATACGTATGTATTACTGAAGTAAAAATTTAAACTTAGTGAAGAATGAGATCTAAAGAAATACTGGATCAGTCACTATTAGCTGCTAAAAGCACTGCACGAAAGTCTGATGGGAAATGTTATATTGGCTCACAACACCTGAACCCACTGATCAATTTTTTAAAAAATTTTTTTAGAATAGCCTTAGATTTACAGAAAAGCTGCAGATAGTACAGAGTTTCCAGCTGTCTCTCACCCAATTTCCCCTGTTGATAACATCTTACATTACTATGGTACCATTTGTTACAACTAAGGAACCAACACTGGTACATTACTATTAATTATGCTCCACACTTTTTTCGTATTTCTCTAAGACTAGTTTCTCGTAATGTTCTTTTTCTGGTCCAAGATCCCATTCAGGATATATTACATTTAGTTATCATGTCTCTTCAGCCTTCTCTGGTCCATGATGGTTCCTCAGCCTTTGTTTTTGATGACCTTGATATTTTCAAGGAATACTGGAATAATGGTCAGGTATTTTGTAGAATGTCCCTTGATTTTGGTTTGCTGGATATTTTTCTCATAATTAGACATGTATTTTTATGGGGAAAACCACAGAGGAATAGGTTATTCTCATCACGTCATATCAAGGGTACATGCTGTTAACATGAATTATCACGAATAGTATTAACATTGATCGCCTGCTCAAGGTTGTGTCTGCCAGGTTTCTCCAGTGCAAAGTTACTTTCCCTCCCTTTCTGTATTCTACTCTTTGGAAGCAAGTTACTAAGTGTAGCCCGCACTCAAGGGAAGTGGAGGGAGTTAAGCTCCCTCTCCTGGAGGAGGAATATCTGCCTAAATCATTTGGAATTTTCTGTATGGGAGATTGTCTCTTGTGTCCCACTGATTTATTCAAATCACTTATTTACATTGGTGTTGACTCACAGATTTTATTTTGTTTCTCAAATTGTCCCAGCTCTGGCCACTGGAGGTATTTCACATCGGTTCCTATGTCCCTCTGACGGCCCCCAAGTGCCTGTCCTTTCATTTTTTGAGTACTTCCTTATTTTCTGGCACTACCAGATGCTCCAGGCTCATCTTACATATACTCTCCTGCAGCTCTAGAAGAAGAGCCATTTTTCCAAGGAATCCTGGTTCCTTTTATTGGAGAATGGTAGAACCACTGATCAACTTCAACATCATAACAATAACCAGACATTCTACGTCCCCTGATGCTGATATGAGAGGAAGCGTGACATACCACCCAGGAAATATTTTTGCTTCCCTCATCTCCTCAAAAAAACCAAACCAAAACAAAACAAACTGAACTTGATTCAAAAGTTAATTAACATTTTACAGGAAATCTTGTAAAGATGTAACTGCAAGAGTCCCCAGTAATCATGTGAACTATTATGAGGTAAAGCCATAAATGGCAACTGAGACTTGGGAGCAAAATGAAGCGTCCTAAAGCTACATAAACCCATGGCTTCAGCCAGCTATGAGGCCAGCTCTTTCCTTTTCCTCCATGGCTTAGCATATGAACTAAGTAAGTGTCTCTTTTTTGCTTTTGATGAATTGAGTTTGGCTTCTGTTACCTGTTACTATAGAGAGCAAACAAGTATAATAGATACAAATAAAACGCAAAGGAACAAAAATAGATTCAGGACATTGAGAGCAGTAGTATATAGGTTGAATTGCTTAGGTAGCACCAGATTTTAGGTGAGATTTTTAAAAGCTAGAGAGAATTTATTTGCTTTTAAAATTTAATGATCTATTATTACTATTCTCTTCTGTTTTGGTAGTGTGATAGGGTTCACTTTTTGGCATACAATATTTATTTCAATCACACATTGATGATTTATCATAATTTTAGAAATCAACAGATCCCATCTTACTTTTCAGCTAATATAATTAGGGCCTCAAATGAATAAATTATTTACACAGCCTCACATATCCACAGTAGACATGCTGAAAGCATAGTGCAATAAAAAGGAGATAGGCTGTGCAGCCAGATGTGACCGGATTTCTTCCCTGGTTCCCTCTCTCACCCTTTTCTCTCAGTGCTTTTTATTTTTTAACCTTGATTATTATTTTTATTGATACATAGTTGAAATACAATACTATATAAATTACAAGTGTACAATGCAGTGCCAATGCTTTTTATTTTTAACGTAAATTTTTTAACAGGTAGTAAGTACAAAGACATGATAGAAAATTCAAAAATTTACACTTGTGAAAGGCAAGCCCTTCTCCTATCCCTGTCCCAGTAACCGTTCCTTCCCCACTCTTTGGCAACCACTGTTAACAACTTCTTGGTTACTTTTCTAGAAATGGTGTATTTAGGCATATCGACGACTTGGCCTTTCAGACGTCAAGGCACAAGATGATCACTAAAATTTTGATGTTACTGAATGGCATTAGAAGGATTGGAGTTGGGAGGGCCTGATGAAAGTGGACTAAAGAGAAGGGAGTTGCTATGAGACACTCCACCCAACAGCACAGGCGTTTAAAAAGGAGGCAACTTAAAATTTGAAACAAACAACTTTCAGGATCAAATAATGTTCATTAAAGGCATGATCAGTTGAGGTTTTTAAGAAGTATGTACAAGCACCTATTCTATTATTCACTTTCTTTGTCTAGATTTCTCTTGAGATCTTCTTGACCATTATAGGGAATGATAGGAAGGGTACTGGTGTAATAGTGTTACATCTCCTGGACATGTAAAGAAGAAAATTTAATTGCTCCCATTTTCTACTCTTGCAAGAGTCATTTTTATTCTAATTGTTTTAGGGTGAGAGAGATCACAAAGAATTGGGACTGAAGAGAAAACACTGAGAATAACACATGACCAAGATGGATGGAGAAAGAAAAGGGGGAATGATGAAATTAAGCGGAGAACATGTTTTAGCTAGCAGTCTGAGAAATACACAGACAGTTCAAATACTCATCATTACTCAGAAAAAGAAGTAAAAACTCTATCTCATTTAAATTTTATCCAGTAAAGATCTGACTTAAAAGGGGATGGGTAAGACGCAACGCACTCTGTTCTCAACAGAGGTTAGGAATTTTACAGTAACCATGAAAAAGAAATTCTCTTGGAATAAGTAACATACTAAAGATGGAAAGAATTAAGTCAATTATTGAGTATAAAATGTAACAAAAATTAGAACATTTTTAGGAGTAGAAAACATTTCACTGTAAAGTTGAAATTAGAATTTTTTTTTCAGACTTATTTTTGAACTCTCTGAAAAAGTTTTTCTAAATTCCTACAGAAATGGCATAACCATTGCACACTTCTTCAAGTCCAGAGAAAGTAATACCTTTAATGGAAATGGAACATAACTCTGGTATACTTTAAACAAGAATCAAAGGATGATGTGAACTACATATTCTTTTGACCAATGTCTTAAAATAGTTACGTAGGAAATAAATTATAATTAGACTGCATTTACAAATGTATAAAATGTCTTAATCATTAAGATTTTTCAAAGTGAATTTTATTACATATCAAGTTTTCTAATAATAGATGACAGAAAACAGCTTTAAAACTATAATGAGAAACAAAATAAATGTCCCACATCCATGCTTGTTTAAATACAACTCGGATTAAATATATTAAATAGATGAGATTCTGTCAGTCTACTTTTTTTTTCAAATTAGTGAAGAAGAAAAACTAAGCATAAATAGCGTATAAAAATTATTTTTCCCTCCACTAACAGTGCCTGGTAGTCTCTTAGGAACAGGGGTGTACAATTTGCATCTGCTTTCTCATTTGCATAAAACTCCTCCAAATAAGGTAAGGAGAAAAAAATTGAAATCAGTCAAAAAGTACATGTCTTACACTTTCAAACATAAAATTAATACTCAGCCTATAATTGTAGCCATAAATTTTAATCTAAGAAATGGCGACAGTGGTTTGTAAATAACTTCAGAAGAATTTCTACCAACTATTTTAACAACAAATCAATTTTGTGCTTGTGTGCACAGTTGAAGACTGTATTATTAATACAGTCACAGAGTTATTTAGATGTGGTTTTCTTAGACACGGATTTCACTTCCCTGACCTGTCAAGCAAACACCTAAAACAACAACAACAAAAAACTGTCGAAACCATATATGTACTCTAAATTGAAATCAAGGAACATCTGACTATTTAAAAAAAAATTACTGGAATTACTAAGAAGAATACATACGTAACAGAAGAGCAATGAAACTTTCAAATTACCACCTAAAGAAGTCAAAAGAACTCTCACAATTCATTAGTACCTTTCTCAATATTAGAAGATATTTTATAGCAGTATCTCCCAATTCTAAAAGGTTTAGAGGTTATGTTAGTCTTAAAAAAAAAAAAAGTAACCAAAACACTAGGAAATTATGTGTAGGCTGTACTACCCTCTAATGGTGAATGGTCAGAGAAGTACATGATCAGGCTAACCTTATCCACAGGTATAAACTACAGAATCACAGCTTACCTCACAATTTCCCTAATTCCAAAATATCTTGAGACATGGTTTCATGATGTTTTTAATAAAGATTAGAATGTTACACCACTTCTTCCTAAAATTTTAAGCTTATATGTGGGAACCTTTAAACACACACAAATTAGGATGCTGGTGTCAAATGATATTATACTTCATACAAATAACATTTTTACTCTATTATAATATACTTTATATCCTGCCAAAAACATGACTGTGTTCATTCATGAGAAACCTATGTTGTCCTCTAAATGGTTATGTCTCAAAAAACTCATTTCTAAACTCTAAAGTATTACTCTTACAATCATCAAGTGTTTCCTAGAATAAAGATGGTTATAATAACACTTACCTCAGTCTTTTTACTATTGTGATCTGTAAATGGAGAAAAAAATGGTCAGACTTTACTGAAAGATATTAACATATAATAATATTTCAATATATAAAATATTTAAACAAAGTAACTGAAAAGAATTTCAAAATTATAGTAAGAGTTATAGAAGTCATTTGGGGGTTGTCCAGGACTCACGTCAGATTTACGTTTCTAGGGATAAGATGTTAAAATTTACCACATAATTATTAGTTTGCTCAGTGTAAGGACTTATATCTAAGCATATGCCATCCACACCAAAGGGTATTACTAAATTTTAAACATTTGAATTCCATATATTTTAGGTTTGTAGTTTCACAGAACTGGGGGAGGAAGAACTTGAAGGGAGACAAGTATGTCTAAAATCAAATCACTGAGTACTGTTACTACGAAAGCTGACAGATCACTGCCCTTGTGGAGTAAAATAAAAGGCAGAATAGTAATTTGTGTCCTTTAAAACTATTAACTAGTTTTTCTTTTTAATATTAAAAATATGTATCATAGTCACTTGATAATACTATGAAAAAAATTCTAAAAATTGATATATATATTTGTAAATGAATACAAAAAACCAGCATAACTATATCTAGATTTAACAAATCACTGACTTAGTAACAATACAGTATTTCTGGAAAGTGATCATAAAATGAGAAAAGGAAGACATAGGGAATCCACACAGATATAAAGTTCAAACTATTGTAAAATAGGTAACAAGTGTTCTTATTTAAATTGGAGATGATCAAGATAGCTAATATTTAACAATGCATCTTGCACACAGCAGAAATTTTCCATTTCCAAGGACTAAAAATAATTTAACTGAATAGTTTCTTACAAGAAATGTACTTGAGAACCTAAAAGCTGGTCTGGTTCCCTAAAACATCTATTGTTCAGAATTGAGTCCATATGCAGCAAAGTAAATGTCAAAATCACAAGTTTCAGATCAAACTACCAAGTCCTCGAGGGCTACACAGTCATTCTAGCATGTCCTACCTGGAGTACCACATGATGCCAGAAACTAGAGGAAGAATCATGCTGTGTTAATCACGTTTTAAAACAGTTGTGCAGCTTCTCCTTAACAGTGTCATACTAATGTCTTTCTCTATGCATCTAATAAATTTACATAGTATTTAAACATATGAAGAATGTATTAAGGAGTTTTAAAAAGCATTATTTTCATGTCTCTGCCTAGTTTTTGATGATATTCTTATATAAAATGTTTCTTATTAAAATTGGAAATTTTAACCCCAAAACAAAGCAACTTAATCTAGAGAGACAGGCTATAGGAAAAACCTTCCTGATCCTTAAATGAAAGCAATACAATCCTCCAAATTTATTCCTAACTTCACAGACAGGCTTGTTTTGGGTTTTTTCTGCCATTATTGATGTGGTATTATTAATCCTTATGGAACAAATGCCCAATGTATTAAGGTTAAATTTGTAAGAGTCAAATAGACTTCTCTGGCAATGAACAAACAGCTTTTCATTGTTATGCAGTTGTTATGACTGGTATAAGCACAGAACTCTTCATTAAAAATTTCTGTGATGACAGTAATGTTCTGTACTTGTGCTGTTTAACACAGAAGCTACTAGTTACATGTGACTACTAAGTACTTGAAATGTGGCTAGTGCAACTAAGAAGTTTTTTATTTTAGTTCATTTTAATTAACTTAAATTTAAGTTACCACACATGAATAGTAGTCACCATAATATATGGCACAGACTTAAGGTTTTCACCACTTCCCACATCAAAAATAGTGTGTTTTGTGGTCTGTCTTCAAAAGTTTGGTGGATGGTATAATTTCCTTCTATCTTCTCTGTTCGATAAAAACAATACAAAGGATATTATAAATTTCTAGTAGTAAGTCTCATTCTAAAATTTACATCTTAGTTTTCTATGATACAGTTCCAGATAACTTGAAGAGGTTAACCTATAATGGATGAAATCTGAAAATACTCCTGGTCAAGTGTAAGCCAAACCACTTTATGTATAAAAACAGTAATATTGTTCAAGATGACTCAAAAACTACAAATGTCAATTTTTATTTTCAGTGAGTTCTAGAAAAGGGACAAATTCAGAAATATAAAAAGATAAATTCTTTCTGAAGTTCATGAGGTTTTAATGACTGATTTAAATTATTTTAACCCCCAGTTTCTTTCCAAACAGGTTTACATTTTTTACAGTCTAAGAAACAAATTAATAAAACAATCTTTATGTACTTTAAATATTAGAAACGTACTTATAACTTACACATACAAAGACTTAGAACAGTTTCTCTAGCGTAACAGATTTTGTACATATATTACCTTCAGATTGAAACTCTTTTAGTGATACTGTAAGAGGTTTGTCTTTTCCCTGATGGGTCTTTCTTTTATCTTTCTTATTTATAACCTTTGACTGAGTTGAAGTATTTTCAGCATTTTCATATTCCTAAAAAAGAATTAATTAACAATAATTAAGCTTGGTTTATACTAGTAAAATCAACTCACCAATAGGTAATATGTTTCTTAAAGTTTTATTTTTTAAAGATAAACGGCAAATAAAAAATCATAAAGGTTAGCCAAACTGTATAAAAAGATATCTGTTTATTTACATACTCAATCTCTTGCCTCTTAAACATTAAAATAAAAATAAAAAGGTATACCTTGGTCTACAACTTCTAGTTGCCATTCTCTTCATTTCAGGACAAAAATTAAGATAATTATTGACAGTCAATTTCCATTCTCACTCACACTGAAATCTGGCTTCTACTGTTCTGATACTAAAATTAAAGTCAATCTCCTCTTCAACACCAAATCCGAAGACATTATTTTTTTCAAGCATCTCTTGGTTTTCTCAACATACTTCTGACACTATTCTTAAATCTCCTTCACTGGCTTCTCTTTTCTCAACTCTGTTCTTAAAAATGCATCTGCTGTTCACCATTATTCCATTCTTAACCTATTCCTACGCTTTACACCTATTGTTTCTCAAATTCAAAGTTTAAAGTTCTACCTGATGACTTCTGTATGTACAGACAACTCAACTGGAATGTTCAATAAGCATCTCCAAACTAAATATGTTTACCCTTCCTTCCCTACTTGATCCTCTCTAAATCTTGTTTAATGCCACTATCATCGACACAATTCTCTAGGCTAGAAACCTCATTCATCCTTATCTATTCCTCCTATACACTTTATATGCAAATTAGCGACTAAATCTTGTTGAGTTTATCTCCTAAAGATATCATAAATCTATTCTTTTTCCTTCACACTTTCCGTCATTTCTCCTACCCTCTTTTGCTTGACACTGCAACACCTTCTAATTTTAGCCCCTCCATCTATCTTCTACACTGTTACAGCATGAGTCTCTAAAATGAAAACCTGAAATCAATCTCAAAGTTAAAAATATTCAATAGTTCTCTGCCAACAAATGTCTAAAATTCAATCTCCTCAGCCTGGTACACAAGGTTCTCTATATCTTATCCTTGTGGCAGTATCTTCAGCAACTCTAGGTCTTGAAATTATAGTTCTTCAAATATGCTATGTTCTTTCACATGTGCATATCTTGTACACTTGCCACTTCTTCTCTGAGAATGCCTACTTTCTCTTGTCTACCACTGAACTTCTAATACATCTAATGACTCCTCTTTACGAATCTTTTACCAAGATATCCTGGACTTGTGACAATATGGATAGACCTTGAGCACATTACACTAAGTGAGATAAATAAGACAGAGAAAGACAACTACTATATGGTATCACTTACATGTGGAATCCTAAGAAAAAAGTCAAATCTATTAAAAAAACGGAGAGCAAAATGGTGGTTACCAGGGGATGGGAGTGGGAGGATAAGACTGATGGTGTTTAAGGATACAAACTTGTAATGAGCAGTAAATAAGCCACAGAGATCCAATGTTCAGTATAATGAATACATTCAATAATATTATACTATAATGATGTAATGTGATAAATACTGCTTTACTGGCACTCATAATACATACATGTAACAAAGTAACACACTGTGTACCTTTAATTTATAAATACAACATGTCAAATTTATCAAATGAAAAAAAAGAATTTTTTCCTAAAACCCACCCCCATCAAAGGCACAGAAAATTATTCTATCTTCCTGAATTCCCACTGCACTGAGAAAAGACATGTCTCAATACTACACACTACAATTATATGTGTGTCTACCTTCACTAAACTGAACGGCTTGGACGATGTCTTTATCCTTGTATTGTGTGCCTAGCAAAGTTTGGCTATTCAAAAAAATACCTGGTAAATGAGTGACAGAATAGAAAATGCCACCCCAAATTTTAATTATTATAGAAACCCTTTGGCTAAAATAAGCATCATTTCTTTACAGGAATACTGACTTAAAACTCAATGGCTACATCAGTGCAATCACATCAAATTACCATCGCATAAAAAGGAGTTCCTTTATTCTCTGGGTCGTTATAGTCTAAAAAAACCAATGAGTACCAGGACTATGACTGTGCCAAGAAAACTGGCTGACAGCATAATATTTTACCAACACCATCAACTTTACACCTTCTCTATAGGTACAGCTAATCCCTGTAGCTTTAGAATATTACGAGATGTATGTCTAGATTCTATTTGATAAATTTTATCTCCAATCGAGCAAGCTAGGAGTGTTTTTCCAGTGTAACCTGAAAGTCCATCTAAATGATTACATTACAGTAAAGCTAGCTATACCCACTTTTGTAATTGCCATCTCTGTGTCTAAATGAACAATAGTAAGGATTATGTTATTAATTATTCATGATAACAGGAATATGGACACAGGAAATGAAACCAACATACATAGTGTACCAAATCCACTCTAACGACAACTTTTATCCTCTTCTCTTGAGGTATAAATAAATAGCAAAATTATCTGCTGTAAATTTTAATTCCTCTCTTTCTTTCATCTTGAGTGAAGGAGCTAGTAGTGTACAATGACATAGTCTAAAGCCCTTAAGTATGACCAGAGGCCAATTATGATGAACCACTGAGTAATCACAAGTTGAATAAATTTTATGGACCAAAAAAAATTCCCAATATATGTAAAGGACCAAAATATTAAATAATACAGAAACAACATAAATGTTCGATTTAAATATAGAAACTAGAAACCAACACTACTTTTTGCTTAAGTTCCTACAGCTACAACTTGTAGAATACACTTCACCATATAGCCTAATATCACAGGTTAGTGACAAAAGTGGAGTTCATGAGGCCAAGTTATCAGAAATGACCTCCCATTTACTTTAGCTAATTTGTAGTGTTATTTCTACCAGAGGGTCTCTTAATAGATGCCCCTGGATTCACAACTACTTAAAAAATTTAAATTTAATTGTTTTCTATGTTCATTTAAAATACTGAAATAAATCATCTGCTATTAACTTCCCTTCTTTTCTTCCCTTCGTCTTGGCTGGAGAGATTTCTTAACATTCCAAACCAGCACACAAAGCTTAGTCCACGTGTTTCTGTTGTCTCTCTAAACTTGAAGAGAAATCTTATAAAAACTTAATGATAATACTTTGTTGCAATAGTGAATTTTTAAGACAAACTTTAAAGGAGAACTTTCACACAAAATTCAGAGAAAGGTTGATCCTAACCTTTGACCACTAAAACCTAAAATATTTAAATCAATAAATGTGTAAATACCTTTTTGTGTTCTTCATATTCTAATTTGCTTAGCAACAATGCCTTCTCAAGATCTGCTTCAAACATTTCAGATGTCAGCTAAAAATTAAAAGAAAGTTTCACAATAAACATATGATAACATTATAATATACCAGCAAAATAACCATAAGAAACAAACAGGAAAAGAAAAACAAATACTTTAAAAACACAATCTGGGTTCTCCAAAGTTATCTACTCATGCCAAAGGAGAGAACTCTGAGATTTTTTTTGCCTCCTTTTCAACTTATCTGTGGTATATCACATAATCTTTTCACTTTAATTTAAAAAAATCTTACCAAAAAATGGACACTGTAATAGATGTCAAAGACGGTACCCAGTTTAGGACATAGAAAATGTAACAGTGATTATTACTAAAAATATAAGAATACTGAAAACTCAGTAAATATTATAAAACACACCATTTTCTTAATACAGACTAATCCACAGGTACAGAACCTTCAAACAACTGTGACCAATTGTCCTGGTATATGCCTGGTGTTACAGAATAATTCCAGTACATCATTTTACTGCTATCCTTTTATTCCTTTTATATGGCAGCCCTATCTTTAAAGTCATGTAACTCTAGAATGATTCTTTGTAATCTATGTCTTTTGATTCCTCTTTCTCATCAGTCAATCTCACCTTAACTTCTTACAATCTAGTTTCCACCACCCTCCAGTAAAATTACTCTCCAAGAACTACTTTTCCTAATTGCCAAAAAGAATTGCTGCAGTAGTTGAATAGGACTCTGAGTTGTCCACCTTTGGGGATAAGTTATGCCTGCAGCTGAATACAGGACAGATACAACACGACAGGAGTAAACATCCTGGATTCATTTACATATACATGTCTACCCATGCATACTGTATAATGAAAGCATAAATTTAATGGACATCGCTTGTTTTTGTCTGTCCACAATCCCTTCCTTTATTCCCCTGAATAACTACACTTCATTCCAGTGTCCTACAATTCTAGCAGGACAGCCAGTCACCTAACCCTGTATACCACCTGCTACCACACCCACACAAACATCCCAGCTGCCATCACCAACGACGACAGGGTGGGAGCAAAGGATCCAACTGTTTTTTGTTCTTCTAGGAATTAAAGTTTGAGAACAAACACAAAGCAAGTGGGGTCCAATCACCTGTGAGTGTAATAGTTCTAGTACTAGTTAATGCCTCTGAGCACCCTAGAATTCCTTAGTTTCCACTTTTCCCAAGGCCTACTTATTTAGCATTTAATTAAAATCTGTGAATCACAGTATCCTTTTGGCAAATTATTTTTTGACCAAGTTACTCAGAATTGTTTCTGTTGTTTAAATATTTTTTAAAAAGCTAAACTAAAACAGAAACCAGCTCCAAAAAGGAGTGATCTGTTTCAAAAGGATATGCTGAAAATTAGAAAAATATTAATGAACTGGACACTATGAACTAATAAACCTTGGTCCTTAATAGATAGACATAATTTGGATAGGTAGAAAAAGGAATGGAAGAATTTCAGGAGGAAAAAGCCATGTGAACAAAGGTATGATATTAATAGATATATTATGGGATACCTGATAAACGATGAATTCTATACAATAAAAGAGAGATGTGGGGAAAACAGGCTTTGGGAGATCACACAGGTGGATAATTTAAATCCCTATTCCACCCATGCTAGTTGTGACGTTGGGCAAGTTATGTAACTTCTGTGAATCTCAGTTTCTTCATACGTTAAAAAAGAAATAGAAACATCAACCTTGCAGGGTAGTTTTGAAGATTTAAAGCTATAATATGTGTAAAGTACCTAGCATACTGCCTATCTGGCTCAAGAGTTACACAGAGTAAATTAGAATTCTCCTCCTCTATGTTGGAAAATAGTAGAAAATAAGATTGCTTAGGTAGGGTAGAATTAGATTCCAGACACTCCCTAAAAATTAGGGATTCAGGTCAGATGAAAGAGGAACACTGATAAAAGTAATTTTAAAGCAATAAACTGGCATAACAGAAGAATGGGAACTAAGAACTGATATGTCTGGCTAAACCACTGTAGTCTCAGCATATAGGAACCTGGACCAGAACATAGCAGTGCAGAAAACAAAAGAAGGCTACATCTTAGCAAAGAATGACCAAATTTTAAAGGAACACTGATTAAATATGAAGAATAAATCAAAGATAAGATTTATGACTCCAGATAACAGGGAGAATGGTAGCACAAGATTACAATATCAAGAAAGAGAAAGAAAACGTGATTCCAAATTCCCTAAACATGTCTTAATTACAGAATTAGTTCATCATAAGACTGCTGTAAATATAGCTGTCAATTTAATTAACCACTACATGTAAGGCAGAACTGTGGTAGGGGGAGAGTCTGGGCCTAAGACAGGCACCGGACAAGAAAATGCACATAAAATCTTGATTTTTAAAAAGTACCTTATATTTAAGTTGCAAATTGAGAATTCCTCATTATTTTCTTTGTACTTGTAGGAGGAGGAGGAAAGGAAGAAAAAGAGGAAAGAGTAGGCACTAAACGGCCTACAGGACTGGAGAAGATACTTACATGTGCCCAAGATGGAGTACTTCAGATCCCCTTCCTCTTGGCTTCCTTCATTGCCTCCTACTCCCCATCTAGTAGTAAAACATTTTGTTTTCTATTTAAACAAACCTATAGCTCAAGGGTTTATGACCACTTAAAGAGTATGAAGAACCAATGGAAAATGAAAAGTAAATATTTCGGAACTAGATTTTTAAAAAATTTTAAGTCAAAATACCATAAAAGTTTAACCCATTTTAAATCCAAGCAAATCAAACTACAAATGAAGAGCTGATCTTCATTTCTCATAGGCACCATGGGAACAGATTAATTATGAAACAACACAGAATATCATTCTGAAGACATCTAACACCTGCACCCAAGTGTTCAGTTACAGTAGCCGTAGCAGCTTCTGCTCCTCTAACTCAGTGATTTTCAAAGTGTGGACCACACACTTTTCACCAATTTGGAAAGAAAAATTATTTTCCCAGAAATCTTCTAATAGTTTTATTGAACATTATGATTTTAAAGGCTGTCAATATTCTACAAAAACTATATCTATGTGCTTACACAATGATTAAGTTCAGTTCCACTCAGCTAATGCATCTTCGTGTCTTTTGAGTGTTGGTTACCTTTATTTCAGTCTGCATTTTTCTTTGCTTTATTATATCTCAAAGTAATAAAAATGGTTCAAGGATTTACTGAAGGAAAGCAGTAATGAAAACAGTAAATAATGCAACTTATAAAAATACCATAAATTTAAAGATGAACAGGACTCTAACATAGTGAATACAGAATATAAAGCTGTATGTGTCAGGACAAGAGTGATATCACATAAGCAGCTGAAAAGGAAAATTATAAATAGAAAACGAAAATAGTGAATATTTGAAATTTTGATTTATTGAGTCATCAATCTATTCCCAGCTTCCTGCTATGAAACATGGTCAGACCAGTGGCCAAAAGACATTTATAGTTTTTGTTTCACTTTCAAAGCACAATGACCTGCATGAATCTTTCCAAGACAACTACCAAGTAATGCTTTTCAGAACAAAAAGTGATGAATTTTATTGTTAAAGAAAGAGCCAAAAAACACAAAGGACTTATTTGAACTTGCACTCCTCATAGGGAAACCAGGTGCAAGTCAAACTATCACCAAGAGACTTACTATCCCAGCCACAAGGTTAATGAGAAATACCATGCTCACACACACACACACACAAAAACAGAACAAGTTATTAGCAAAATGCCTTTCTCAGATGGACTGGAGGATGCAATGTGAAATACCAATTACTGTCATGTACGTGCTAGAAAAGATTTCACTTCAGAACTGGACAAAACCAGTGATGTGTGGCATTTGATTCAATACAACAAGAGGAAGAAATACACAATGAAATTTGATCAATATATCACTGAAAATCTGAGAAGAGATTTTTCTATTCATTCATTATTTTTGAGCCATGATGTAAAATTTTAAAAGGTACACTGTAGTCAGTAATATTAATGCACTATCATGAATAAAAGAGGTTATACCTGAACAACATCTACAGAGATTTAGTCCCAGGCAAGAGGTGTTGGTGAACAATATATCTCTTGATCTTGATTCAATGTTAAAAGAAATGGTAAAAAAAAAATTCTGAGTACAATCAAATCAAAGTCATGGCCTATTCATCTTTTTTTTAATAGCTTTACTGAGATATAATTTACATATTTAAATATCACATATCACATAAAAATCACCCATCTCAAGTGTGAAATGTACACCTCCTCTAATGCGTACATCTCTGCAAAGAAATTCTGTTTCCCCCACCTCCCTTTCAATTTCTCTTACCCAATTTTTCATCTCAGCCTAGTATTTCACCATTTTATATAACATTACTGTCACCTTGACTTTTACAAAATGTTCTAGCTCCCTGGATTTTATCAAAGCAAAAAATAGATGCTGCCTAAAATCAATTTCTGTTTCCCGTAGCAAACTTTTTTCAAAGTACGCTTTCACTCTGGACATTAAGTACAAAGTTCTTTTCATTTTATGTGGTAGAAGCTTTTCTTTAGTTGACATGAGATCAACTAAGGTCCAGTGTTTGCTCATAAGTAGGTGGAGTGGATGCTTCCTTACTGTCTATCTGGTTGCAGTTTAATGCCAGCTCTCAGATTTTTACGCTGGGGCTTTGCTGGTGTAAATTTACATTATCACTTTGATGATTTAGGAGTAGGAAAATTTGTCTTAGCATAATTTCTTTTTTGTGTTTAAAATAAGCAGCCACATAACAGGCAAGATTTCAATATCCAGCTTTTGGAACAGCTCAGCCTTCAAAACCTGCAGTTTCTCTTAGTGCTGTCTCCCTGTGTCAGAGAGAACACCCACTGTAACTGTATGCCTCTGCCTAGTACAGTCACTGCCAGGTCCCTACTTTCAAAATCTATTATTCTACACACTAAAACACGCCGGGTGGTATACTGTCCATCGGTTCCAAGGCTTCCCCTTATCTCTTCCTCACCTGTCAGTGTAATTATCCCAGGATCTACTCTACTTCACATGACCTTGATTATTTTCCTACAAGTGAGATTTCCAAAGGTGGTACCAGGTTTCCTAAGTGATGCATCAACAGTATACCCCGCAAAAATTCCTCAAAGTTCCTGAGCCTTGGATGATATTCTTACATAGCATTAGGGCCAAGATGACTACTTATTTCTTTTTCATAATTAACGGGGGTAGGAAGAAAGGCAATCAAATATCAGTGTTTAAATTCCCACATTACACAGAATTTATTTCAGTGCAAAATTGAGTAGTCTTTCTTTAATTTTCCAGTGCTCCTTGGGTCACTGAGAGAAAGTCTCTCTGGTGAAGACACTGGTAAATTCTATTACTGTCTAAACAAGTAGATCACTACATTAGTAATACATGTAAATCAGAAAAACCTTGTCATAATAAATGCTGTAGAAGGAAAAAAAGAGTCAAATAACTCCCCTAGAAAAATACAAGACAATTTATCCAGTATACCAGTGCCTGGAAACACCATTTTTGCATAGCTCTAGGTAATAACTGACACTTGTAATGATTAGCCTGAGGCATTACAAAATCCTATAGAAAATGTTATGATTAACATAGTTTGTTAAAAGCATAGTTTAGTATATAGTCTAATTCTTTCAAAACTGGTAACCCAAGCACAATAGGTATAGCCACTCTATTAAGTCAAACATATGCTAAAAAAATACCTATTCCCAATAGAGCAAATGACAATATAACACATAAGCAAGTAACTATTCATTTCTCATACATATGGCATTTCCTGGAGTATATTCTTAGTATGTTATTTTCCTGGATACCACACACACAAAAAGAAACTGACTGTTTTTTATTAAATTATCCATTTGATTTGGTTATTAATGACATGTATTTAATAGAGGCATAAAAGAACAAAACATCATGTAAATAGGTTAAAGAAGAAAACAAATATCATAAACTATTTTATTTACATCAAGGCTGAAAAGGAAAAGTTTTCCCTCATAGTCTTTCTTTTTTTAAGCAAAACTGTCACTGAGTATTTTTAATAAGAGACTTCTGGCCCTACAAATGCGAGTGTTTACCTGAAATAATTTAATCCTGTTGTTCTACCTTCCTTATCTCTCCCTCACTTGTAAAAAGGCAGATGAATTAAAAACTCAAAAAATAACTGCTTAAAATTGCCAAAACTAACAAAAATAACAAATCTGTTAATCTGCTTTCCTAGTAGTAAAAAACAGAACCTCTTAAATAGCAAACACACTTAAGTTAAACCAATATAAAATGCTCCTCAGAACAGTGGTGTCATGGATTCAGATGCACTGCTATCTTAAAAATGTATAAATTCACTAAAAACAGAACAAAATAATGTGATTAACTTAGCTGTACCTGTTCATCTTTTTGTCTCCATTCTTGCCAATTTTCTTCTCGTGAATCTTTCTGTACTGGGTTTGGTAATAAAAGCTCATGTTGAGCATTACACACAGCATGGGAGGATTTCTGGGGAATTTTCTTAAAAGCAAGATTCCTGAGCTTTGAAACAAAGAAAATATATTAAATTCAGTTTACCAATCCTGGGATATTAACAATTTTTTTGAAGTTAAGAAATCAATATTTTTATACTAAACATTCATTATGCTAACTCAAAAAGTCACTACTCGTATTTTTATAATCTTTGTAGAATGTTAATTTTGCTTTTGAGATAGTTTTGGTGGATTTCTAGATGAAATGATTAATAAGTTAGAGTGGCTAATACTCTATTAGACCACCATTTTAATGATTCTGCTTTACTAAAGGGAAGTTAATAGGAGTAGATAACGGGATAAGTGTGCTTTTAAAATGCAAAACAATAGGGTTCAATAAGATTAAAGTTTAACAGTTTACAAATTCAAAAGTTTAAACAGTTAGAGAAGATAGCTTAAGTAACTCTAGTCACCACTTTGCTAGTCCTGAAAAATACAGGGCCTAGTCCACAAAGTAACATGATGAACGGTACTGGCCAAGCCATTCTCAGTAAGAGTTATCTGAGACACAGTAGACGAAACAAAGGAGAAAAATATTGAGAGGCTATTTTTGGATTACATCATATTCCCTCAAAAAATATGTTGTAGGCCTAACCCTTTGCTGTCTGTGAATGTAACATTATTTGGAAATAGGATCTTGGCAAATATACTCAAGTTAAAATAAAGTTATGCTGAATTAGGATGAGCCCTAATCCAATGACTAGTGTTCTTATAAGAAGGGTATAGAAAAGGATACACAAAGGGAACACAGTAACAAAAGAGGCAGATTGGAGTGATCCAGTCACAAGCCAAGGAATGCCAAGGATTGACGGCCACCACAAGAAGCTAGGAAAGAGGCAAGGAAAGGTCCCACTTAGTTTCAGGGAGAACACGGCCCTTGATGACACCATGGTTTGGACTTCCAGCCTCTAGAACTATGAAGAGAATAAACTTCTGTTGTTTTAAGCCACCTAGTTTGTAGTACTTTATTACAGCAACCCTAGGAAGCTAAAAAAGAGGCTTTAAATCGAAGATCAACAATTTAACTGACTATTCTGTTCTACAAGAGGGAGTGATGAGATACAAAGACCACTTTACGCAGCTGGTTTCTGCTGCAAAGGACACAGAAGAGGAGATGCTGCTGGAGATGAAGCCCTGGTAGGTAGACTGTTTATGTACTTTACAGAATGACAGCCATGGAAGTGGGAAGGGAGGATCCTCAGGCTCATTCTCAGTTACACAGTTTCTTATTCTCTAATGTAAATCCCATTATTTCCTTGTTTTCTGTTCTCCCAAATCATCTTTCATTCCAAAAACAAAATGGTAGGCAATCAGTTTTGTTAAGATTGGACTTCTAAAAGGTTGTATGGTGGGGAAAAAAAATGCCTTTTAAAGTGACTCTCTGTGGGGCAGAATTTTAAAAAGAGAAATTTAGAAAGCAATAGTAATGGAAATGTAATAAAAACAAACATGGTATGTATGTTCATGTATGACTAAAGCACTATGCTGTACACCAGACATTGATACAACATTGTAAACTGACTATAACTCAATTATATATATACATACACACACACACACACACACACACACGAACAAAACAAAACAAAAAGGAATAAACTTGAATTGAAAAGGCTTTTTCTAAGTCTGGGAATGTGATGAAGTGAATACAGGAAGTAAAAAACACTGTTGCTACTTGTCTCATTAAATGGTACTGAGAAAAGTTCTTACATATTTGCTCCTTCTGTTAAAAGACAAACACAAGCTAGAATTGTTTTTCAGCATTTCTTTTAAAAATAAATTAGCACATTAAATGTTGGTCATATAACTCATGCTAGGAATGTCCAGGGGAGACGATCCTACCATGCACTTACTTCCCTTAAGAAAAAGATGACCATCAAATGCATAAAAATGTACACTGAAGGATAGTCATAGGATTATTGTCTATAGCAGTAAAAAAGTGAGAAATAATCTAAATGTGTATGACAAGGGTTCGATTAAGTAAACTATGACATAAACACATAGTTAAATAATGTGGAGTCATTTAAAATAATGTAGATCTTTATTTATTCATATGGAAAACTATTCATGCTAATTTTAAAATAGCCAGTTATGAAATTCTATTATATAATCTCATTTTCTTTTAAGTAAAATAAGAATGTATAGATGTGTACATGTACATCCCTATACATTCATATAAGCTTACATTTGTGTACAGAAAACACACACCAAAATATTGATTTGTTGTATCTCTAGCTATATTTACAAATGACCTTTGTTTCCTTTCAAGATTTTGTTTTTTCAGAAACTTTTTGGAATGAGCAAGTAAGCTTCTACAGAAAAAAAGGCATTTAAAAAAACGTTCATTACATTTGACTTTAAATATACACAAATTCATATCCATTCATTGAAGTCATATTTCCAAGTACTTACGGACCAGGAACTCTGGATACATGCATCAACAAGATAGTACCTGTCCTCCACCCACTGGGAAAGCAGATACAAATAATTATAATTGCTACCTCATTTGCTTCACTCTGTTGCTGTTCCTTCTTTTTTCTTCTTTTCTCTCTCTTCTTCTCATTTGTAGTTGATTTATTAGTATGAGACTTTCCAGGATTCCGACCTTTGCTTTTTCCAGGCTCAGAATCAGAACCACTGCCACTGTCCACTTGCAACAAGGCGAAACGAGAAGCAGTGGTGGGAACAGAACTAAGTACTGCTGAGGCCATTGTAAAGGTTTCTTCTTTTAAAATACTTCTGTCAAGAATAATTCCTGTGGGGAGGAAGAAGAGGAGGCAGATGAGTAAACACACTCAGTAAAATTCATTCCAGATTCTAGAACAAATATAAATATAAATATATATATATTTACTTCTCCTGACACTGGATTTAGTAACATCTGGATTCATACCCACAGTCCTACTTGCAATAACATAACTTTTAAATCTTAAATAAACAATATAAAATTGTATAACAAAAATAGAAAAATGATATATTGAGATCTCACAATTATGACAAGACCACCACCAATACAATGTATTCATTTTTCCATGTATAATTTCTAAAAATTAATGATTTTTCTTTCTTTTAAATATACTGCCAGAATACACATATATTTATGAAGAATATCCTAAGTCAATATAGTTTACAATGGAAAAGTAATAATATCATTTTTCATGGTGCAGAGACCCTTGGTTCAACAACATGTTCACCCCCAACTTCTAAGACAGGAAAAAAAAAAAGAGAGAAAAGGAAGACAATTCTTATCATATACCAAGTGCTGCCTTAAGTTTGATTCTGGAGACTGTTCTCAGTCACAGAACTGACAGCAAAACAGAACTTAAATTTCCTCAACCAAAGGAAAACTTCAAAATGCCCTTCACATGACAGTTTAGGTCACTAGTCTCAGTGCACCCAACCTCTTTCAGCTTTTTCAGAACCTTTTAAGCTTAAGGAAGGATATTAAATGTCCTCTTGTAATATCTAACCCAAATCATTTGGTTTTACAGATGATGCAACTGGCACTTAGACTGCTTAAGTCATTCTGCAGGTTATTGGCAAAATCAGGACCTGAAACTAGGTTTGCTGAACCTTACTCTGCAAATTCAAATTAAGAAGCCTTGTAATACTAGAAGACTAAGTACTCTCTCAATTCAAAACTGATTTTCTTAATAGATTATACAACTCAGAAATTTGTTTATTTCTATTTTGAAATGTATCAGGTACACAACTGAATGAAATATTAAGTCCACAGAAATAAATGAATACTTCAAGTACCCAGCATTAAGATGAACAGAATGTTAACCCATCCCATGCCTCTCCTCAACAGTATCCCCTCAATTTCTGCCCTGTCCAGAAATAATTATTATCCTGATTTTTGTGTTACTTATTCCTTTTTCTTTATAGTTTTATCATGTCTGTCTTGAGTCACAGTGCTCATATCTGAACTAGCTACTGTCATTTCCACAATATCCTACTGCTCACAGAAGTCCACTCTATTCAGTATGGGAGGTGACTATGCACACGTGTGAATACTAGGAGGTAAGGATCACTGAGGTCCATTTTGAAAGCTAACCACACACTATAGTTTTCATGTTTTCAGGAGGGAACAAAAATGAGAAGCATGTGTTCAGTCTTCCATCTTAACCTAAGAATCCAGGAAATTATCTGGAAATCTTTCATTTTTTTGGTAAAACAATGAAGAAAAATTAAAAGAGCTGAAATTTGACAATGTCACCTGGTAGTTACTAATCAAAGTATTTATATTATAATGCCATGACAATACCTATTGCTTAGAAATATGTGCATCAAGAAAAAATACAACATGCAGAAATGACATTACAGCAATAAAATTATGTAAAATTATGACATATTTTTAGGCTTAAATCTTTCCCACAAGCATGAGAGTTAAGGCTTGGAAGTTATTACAAGAGAGAAAATATTACAAAATGAAAAAGAAATTCCAGACTCAAAAATATTATGGAAAATATTAATTCTGCTTCAACTTCAACATGGCATGTTAAAATCCTGTAAGTTTTGGTCACTTTGAGCACTTTAGGTAATTTATTAATCCTACACAGTTGTTCAACATCTACTGTATTTAATTTTAACTGTTGGTACTATAAATTGTATATGTTAGCTGTTCACAAATATTCACTGCCTCTCCCTGAAAGACAGTTATGTATCACTCTCATGTTGAACGCAGGCATGGCTATGTGACTCACCAGTGAAATATAAGCTTTAAAAGCCAGAACATGGTTCACCATGTTCTCTTTTATCTGCTTCTGTGATTGTGGAAGTAAGTGTATGTTGAGATGAAATCTCCATCAGTCAGGTCTGATGGAGTCTGAAACTACAATGAACAAAATCTCTTTACTAACCTGTAATGGATATGTAGCTTGACCAAAAAAGCAACTTTGCTGCTTTCAGCTGCTGAAATTTTCAGGTTGTTACTGCAATATAGTCTAACCTTATCATGACTAATAGCTTACACAAATACATCTCTTTTCCATTTTAGGACTGGTATCAATACCATGAATTTCATATTTGGATTGTTCTGCATGAGTGAAATGGTCACAAATGTTCTAAACACCTCTCCAAAGATCATAGAAAAATGTTTTTCTGTGGCATAGGGCAGAACTTCCTCACCAGTGTATCATCAGATAAAGCTCCCCTTAGTTCTTGGCACTGCCAAGACATCATGGAGAATTGAGAGACTCTGGGCCAGTCCCCATCAGATGCAAGCAGCCTTATCTGCTGTTCCCTGCACATGCTGCCTTGCAGTTCTGTCAGCTATGACCAGAGAAGTACTCAAGCCCCTGGAAATCTACTTCATCACACAGGTGCAGAATGCACTGCTGCTCATCATGGTAGATAGGGCCATGGAACTGCTGAAAGAATTCATGTTCTAGGTGCCCAAAATGCAAGGCATGCAGTACCGGGAGCAGCAGCTGCTGTTAGGAGTGAGGAACACAAAATCTCCTAGTGAGCAAGGTTCCAAGCAAAAACCTGAAAGCTCTATATTCACAAACAGCAGATACTTCTCCCCATTTGCTAGTGCCATGTCTTTTAAATGGCACAAAATCTAGCAGCAAGGTGACTGCTCAAATATGCATGTGCTTTCTGCAAATTAGAGCCTGTCATTATTTTAAATACTTGAAGTTACAAAGTTCAATTGAATTTGAACTCCTTTCTTTTTATCACAAGAAATTCTGTATTACATTTTTGATGAGAAAACTTTTTAAATTTAAAAAAAATATTTTCAACTGTTATAAATTATTGAATATAACAAAAGGTTTTGTTTTTACTCCCTGTAAAATTTCAATGGGGGTTCAATTTGAAGAAAGCACCATTAAAAAGTCTGGATCAGAAACCATATATTCTTATTTCATGGATAAACCTATTATTCAAAAATTTATATTTGCAGAAGCAAGTACAATTTCCTCATTAAAACCCTAAAAAGATTTTTGAAGTTTTATACAAATTCAATACTTAATATCTCTCCTAATACTTTATATTTTGTTTTACTTACCCTAGTCACACACTATGAAAAAAAACAACTTCACACATTTTCTTCCACTCAGCTCTACGTACACTGTAGATCTCCCCCTCAGTTGTGGGACAATGAGATGCCTCTGGTTCTTTGTGTCAGTAATGCAAAAGCCAAATGGCAGACAAGCACTGGCACAAGAACGCCGACCTGGAGCAAGAATGCCTGGTCAAGCCCAACCAGCTGCTAACTGTGAGCCCCTGAGCAATTTCCTTGAGCTCTCTGCTTCTTCACCTGTGGAATAGGGACGAGAATACCTAGCTCACTGAGTTGCTGTGAAGATTAAATAAGTTAGTATGTGTAAAATGCTTAGAACAGTAGCCAGAACAGCAGAAGCACTCAAATATAAACACTGACTAGTATTTTTACTATGATAATTAACTGAAGTATGTCTTGAGGGCCTACGAGGCATAAGAGAAGTGGCACAAGCTATTGAAAGATATGGCTGAGCATGTCTGATTCCATAGCAAAAAGTGCTCTGAAACTCAAGTGAACGTCTGGCCCCTCTAAAAGCTAAGGTTTTAATCTTTGAAATGAAAAGTAAAGAAAGTTTTAAGCACTGAGAAGTTGTGGTTGAGCAACCAGCCACTGAAAAGAGCCAAAGACCTAAAGATCATACCTAACACACTACAGAAGAACACCAATCTAACTGAAACCCCAAATCACAGGAGTGACCATGCAGTGTACACACATGACAAACAATAAATGTTTCCTGAAGGAGTGAAAAGAAATAAAAGACAGAAAGACAAAGAAAGAAAAAAAGCATTAAAACAAATACTGTTGACTGAGAGAAGAATGAGTGATAAACACTCAAAAAACAAAATAATTATTTTTCTGAGGAGGCAGCTACCTACGCTTTACCTTAGCAACCTCTGTGTTAGAATAATAAAAGGGAGGATGAAAAAAAAAAAAGGGTAGATTGAAAGGGGAAAATGCTCATGTCTAACGATCCTTTGGTCAGGAGTAGGGGTGGGAGAGTAGGAGAGTGGCAGTATTTGCACTATACTTTACATAACAGCAAATATTAAAGGCAAAAAGTGGCTCTACTTAGTCAGCAGTTGAGGGAGTAAAGAGATGGGACAAACAGAAGGGCTCGATCATCTACGCTATACATTGTATGTAAAAAAAAAAAGTGACAGATAGCCAACATACCAACTATCTCAACAGCCATGAGAGAAATCTACATACCGTATCAAAAGATATACTAAGTAGAGGAAAAAAGGAGGGGGGGAAATATAAATTTTAAATGAAAGAAGGAAATAAAAACATAAAAATAATCCCCAGTTTATAAATATGTGCATTATTTATTTATATACCAAAAGAAGGAAATTCAGGGGTCTAATCATTATGCTTATTTTCCTTTCTATAGCTTTCACTAGTTCCCCAAATATTCTATAGTGACCGTATTTATCCCATAAGAAAAAAAAATCTCATTTTAAAAAGGGAAAATGGTCATCTGTACCCAAATTCAAAAAGGTAAGCATAATGCAATCAATGCAATATTGATTTTTCTGCCCTGTGTTGAAACTCAGGGCAACTACAGGTCAGAATTGACAATGAGATGCCTCTGGTCCCTTATGTGATTCAGAAGACAAATGACAGAAAGCAACTGTCAAAGGCTGATTTATGTCACGTTTTTAAGAGAACACTGCCTTCATTAATAAATTTTTCAGAATTTGCAAAAAGATAATCATGTTATATAATCCAGGAATTCATTTGAAACT